TGATTGTCCCACTCTGCACTGCACTGGTGCAGCCCCACCTCAAGCACTGTGTGCAGTTTTGGGCACCTCAATATGAAGACATCAAATGGTTGGACTCGAAGATCTTAAGGGTCTTTCCAACCTAAATGATTCTGTGATACTATGAAACTATTAGTGTGTGTCCAGAGGAGGGCGACTAAGATTGTGAAAGGCCTTGAGGGCAAGACTTACGAGGAGTGGCTGGTCACTTGGTTTGTTCAGCTTGGAGAAGGCTGAGGGGTGCCCTCATCGCTGTCTACAACTTCCTCAAGAGGGGCAGCAGAGGGGGAGGAGCTGATCTCTTCTCTCTGGTGACCAGCGATAGGACATGAGGAAATGGAATGAAGCTGCGTCAGGGAAGTTCAGGTTGAACTTTAGGAAAAGGTTCTTCACTGAGAGAGTGGACAGTCACGAGAACAGGCTCCCCAGGGAAGTTGTCATGGCACCAAGCCTCTCAGAGTTCAAGAAGCATCTGGACGACACTCTTAGTCATATGGTTTAGTTTTAGGTAGTCCTGTGAGGAGCAGGGAGCTGGACACGATGATCCGTATGGGTCCCTTCCAACTCAAGATATTCTATGATTCTAAGTTAGTCAGCCACTGATGGAGTGGCAGGTGATGTCTAGTGGTGGGACAGGGACAAGCTGACCACTACCACCTGGTCCGTAGGCCTACAACTGGAAGACCAGCTGCAGCATGCAGGCTCTGTTGGCACCCTGTGGTGTGCTGGGGAGGGAGGGAAGGAGGAGCGCACCAGCATTTTCAGAAAAACAAAATTCAAGCGGTCTGCTCAAGTCAGAAAGGTATGTTTGTGGTGATTCATCACAAGTTTCCTTTTTTGGTGTGTTGCCATACACATGACTAATGGAGGAACTTTCCAAAGCTTGTGTCGGTTTCTGCAGTGGAATGTAGTAAATATGACTAATCTAATACCGTAGCAGTAAATATCCGAGGGCGGTGATGGGTCTTTGCAGACTACTCCTGTTTGCGTAGTTACTTAGCTCTCTTGAATACCCTTTAGCTCATCAGCTTTTCAAAAGCTTATGTTTGCTCTTTTGTTTTACCTGCTGTTTTTTCCCCATCTGACACAAACTATGGAGGTTACTGGGGACAGCCTGCTGAAGATCTATCTCTTGAGCTATGGACACGGAAGGAAAATAGTGTAGGCACTTCTAAAACGTTCTTGAATCTGCTTGTGCCCATAGGAGCTAGAAATACCTGCTATATTGTGCTCTATACACAATATATCATCTGCTTTATTTGCAATTATCTTTGCTTAGACTAAGAAAATGCTCCTAGCTCAGTTACTCTGGGTGCTCCTAAACCTGTAGGGAGTGCAGCACATTCTTGCTGACTTTTTCTTCTTGGATCCTGCTACTACCTTTGTTCCAGTTCTGTAGCTTTATCTCTGTTGTCTGATTGTTTCTTCCCTGGAACCAGCTGAATCCCTGGTTCTAAGCCTCTCCTTTCAGGCTAAGTAACTGAACATCTAGTTTAGTTGGACCTACCCATACTAAAAGCTGAGCAAGTACAGTTGTAAAAGCAAGTGCTTTAAAGACTTACGAAGGTTTGTCATGAACAGTGGAGAAACAACCAGTCTTTGCTGGAAAAGGAGACTGGTAGCACTTCAGAGTGCATATTATTGTAATGAGTTTCATAACTAGATTTTGACATTTTCTGCTACCATTATTGAGCTGAAGTAATGTGTTTGAAGAGCCTGACATCTTGCTGCATGCTTGGAAAACAGAACTGTCATTGCAGAATATTGAATAATTCCAGTCAATATAGAATGATTTTTTTTTTCTTTTATTAACTCAGATTTGTTTATTGCTCTCTCAAAGCATGTCTTATGTGAGATTGGCAGTCAGCAGTCTCATCCTAAATTATTTCTCCATGAAGATCATGTGTGAAAACAATCCCTTAAAATAGCAATGTCGCTGAATGCGCACTCTTTTATACTGGTTTCCTCCTCTTGAGGGAAACCACTGCAGCTGGAACACTTCAGAGTTCTTGGACTAAGTTTCATGGTGGCAGCAGGAGACTCTTCAAACAGCCTCTTTTCTGCTCCAGGTAAAACTTCAGCTACACCAAAGCATATGTGCAATGTTGAGTATATGTGCTTGTTTTTCCCTCTGCCACTCCTTCTCAAAAGAAATAGTGCTCTTGAAATACACCCACCAATGTAACATTCATTGACTTAGTGATATATATTTAACCTCAAGACAGATAGTGTTAACAGATGGTGGTGGTCCATCCTCTGGTTGCTACTCTGGTAGAGTGTTTTGAGGAGCATGCATCTTCAACAGATCCTTCTGCCTGCCTTCTTAGAGTTAGACTAGCAAATATCTGAGCATTCCTCCTTGGAGGACTGTAGCCTGAGAGACATATGTACTTGACAAAACAAACAAATCAGAATTCAGGTTTGAGGAACAACTATGCAAATACCTGTTTAAATTTAATCTTGAGTGTTTTGACCTTTCTTGCCTGTTAATATGGAGGTTTCTTGGTGCAGTCTAAACGAAGGGGTAACTTCAGAGGTAACTGAGATTTGGGTCTTAGCAACTGCTCATTTTACTGAGGTTTTTAAGATTGTATTGCAAGATGATGTAGGCTTCAGATAAACAACCTGCAAATATTTTGCATTCTGTGAAACAGTTTCATGAGCTAAGTATCTAAAAGAGCTTATGGTCTCCGCCTGGAGTGAAAAGCAGCAAGTAAAATATCTTCTTGCTTTCTATCCAAGATCTATACCTAATGACTTTATCCAGGAGATTCTAAATGTACTTTACTTGTGGACCACAATAAAGCCATGAATTGCCTCTGTTTCCATGAAGGGGCTTGTCACTGACCAGGCAGTGCTACCTCCCTATTTGTCTGTGAGCAAGGTGGTACTCAGTGCAAATGTTACAGTATGGGAATCGCTGCTTAGATTTCAGATTTCAGTTTCTGCTGTAGCAGTTCAGTTGGCCAGACTGAAGACTAGCTTGAAGGGTGTTTTCAGGAAACCGCAAACTTGCCTTTGTTTTTTTTATACCAGTTGTCATTCCTTGCTTCCATAGTAAAAAAATAAAAATGTATCTTAGTTTCATTTCTTCTCTGAAAAAAAAAAAGGCATTATTAGTGCAGTTATCTGAGATGGGAAAGAGATTTCAATTTTGACCTCAGCTGAGATGAAAGATGTCACCAAGTATATAAGCATCTGTCATTCCTGGTACTAGATTCGTGAGTTGTCCTTGTGTTAACTTGGCCTGTCATGTAAGCAGAAGGAATGTTCTGCTTGTGGTTTGATTTTTGATGTTTGTTTTTTTTATTCCTCTCTTCAGAGTTTGCATTAGCCAGTTCTGATTCCTCTTCTGTAGCTACATTCCTGGAGGAAAAGCCAGACACATCAATGCTTTATGCATGTATCTTCTGAATTAAGGTAGCTCTGGCTGGAATTAAGTTCTGCTCTGGCTGGCTTGATACTCAGTAGGTAGAAAAAGTCTACCAGCTTCTTTGGGGCTGGAGCAGTATATTGGATGTCTTTTTCTTGAATAGCTGGTATCTACTTTCATGCCTTTCTCTTTTTCTATGCTTCAGTGACAGTAGGAATGATGAACTATCAGAAATATCCCAAGCAGTTATTATAGCTGTCCATTTATCTTACAAGCCTCTGCTGAGATCACACTACTCTATTCATGCTGTGAAACCAGTTTGTATCGTGAATATATTGAGCTAGTGTGTTTGCAGTTGGCTGGGTAAGCGGCAGTAGCTCTAGCAACTGACCTAATACAGCAAGAGAGGATAGCAAGAAGCAAAAAGAAATACAGCCTAAGGGCTGAAAATGAAACTTAATCTACCTAGAGTGGAGAGCTCATAGTGGTGACACCTGCATTTAGAGGTCTTTTAGGAAATTGAAGAGACTGCTCAAGATCATCTGTGCTAATAACTTAACCACCTTCATACTGTTAACCTTTGTTAGGGTAGTCCTATAAAAAAGGTAAGTCCTATAAACCCATGAAAATTAAGTTTTAATGCCAAGGTATTAAATCCATTACCCGATCATATAACTTTCATACGAGCCTTTGTGCTCCAAGGCTCTTCTTCACACTTGAATCTTGTAAATTCTTGTGAATTGGGGTTGTGTCCCTGCTCATTTTGTGTTTCAGTGGAAAGAAGGCTGGGAAAGAATGTGCTGTGGATGGCACTAAGAAAGCATGCAATAGCAGTGGCAAGAATAAAGTGCATTATATTGACTGTAGGAATATATGTTCTGGCCCTTTCTATAGAGACAATTTTTAGTGCTGTTCCTTTTTGTGCCAAAGAGATGTGTGGATGGTGGTCTGGAGAAATAGAGAAGAATGTCTGTCTTCAGCCCTGACTCAAAATATTACCCTAGTCTGACGCAGGAAGCAGAAAACATCCGTCAAGATAGATCACAGATATGTTTATGACTGTAATAAGTGTTGGGTTTGAGTAAGAAAAAACAGTGTTCTTACCGTTGCTTTCATCTTCTACAGGCAATTTTGACGACTTGAGCTTACAAGATGCACTTGGTAATTATTACACTCTTGCAAATTTTGGGAGGTAGGCGGGAAAATAGTGGCTGCTCTTTTGACTTGTTTGTTTCCGAGTATCACTGCATGATACTGATAATGATACATGAATGACACATTCCCCACATATGGTTTGTTTAAACCTCAGCAGAACAATTCAGCTATGGGTATGTCAAAGTGTTGACCACATAGAACTGAAATTTGTCTTTGGGAACACTCAGGGATTCCTCTTAAGGGGAAAATGTCTTGCTGTATAGACTTGATCTTGTGCCTTTCATTTGTCCTTCATGTACCTTCTGAACAGTGTATTAAATAGTATTTAAACTTTTTTTTTTCTAACCATCCCTGACAGAAACTACAAAGAAGCCTCTTCCATCTCGGAAGCCACCATCATCGGATTCCGGTAAGATCTAATTGGCTTGTAATGCCTTTTACTGTGAAGTCAAGTGTAGTTGTACATACTAATTTGAGAGCCTGAATTTTTAAATTTAGTGGCACACAGAGTTGTGATATTTCTATAAAAGAAAGTTCCCTAATAGCAAAATGATTTCTGCATTTTGGAGTCTTCTGCTAGTGCTTTCACAAATTTACTTTGTGATTTCACAAGCTTAAAGACCCTGTGAGAATCCCTTCTGTTGGCTTTCAATCTGCGTGTTTTGAGCTTGCTCACCTTGAGCTGGCCCTTGGCATGTAGCATGTTCACAGCATGTAGTTTGGCACATAATGCCTGGTAACTCTGGTGCTCTTCCATGGGCCACTGTTGAATGAGCATGCCATTGTATTCTTGGTGAAAACATTGTGAGATGCGTTTTGTGTAAAAATAGTCTAAAACTAGTTCAGTTTTTGCATTACATTTAAAACGTCCCTTCTTTCTTTGTAGATGAATTCAACTTGGAACATGCTCTTCAGCCTGGTAAGTATCATGCTTTCCTGGATACTGCTCAGAGGTACTTGGTGCAACATCTATCCATCCTTTATTACCTAAATGTATTAAGGGCACTGAGTTGATTAAGGTAACAGACTGCAGATAAAAATAATTGCAGTCTAGTTATGTTTATTTATCTTCATTTTTAAGGATCTGGATCACAAAACCTGTATGTATTTCACTCATTTCTTAGCCAAGTCCTACTTGTTTCATTGCTGTGTCTTCACTAGATGGCACTAACTCCATAAACTATTACTTATGGAAGTAGTTTTTAAATCTGAAGTAATCTCTTCCTTTCCAGGAAGTAATTTTAGTAGCACAAGGAAACATTAATCTGTTTGAAATAATATGAGGGAAGGTACTCTTTCTAATGCGCTTCAGCTCTGCAGTGTGGGCAGCAGTAGAAATTGCAGTATTGTTTTCACTCGGCCAGTAGAAGGTGCATCCAGTTAGGCAGATAATGCACAGTAGCTTTTCGAGTACCATCACTAGACCTGTTGAGTATAGATGGCTTTCCTAACACAGGACATACAGTTGTAGGACAGTACCACTGTTTGCTGCTCTGTTTGATTTAGCCCTTTGAAGTTTTCTCTCTCTTAAAGCAGTCTGTTTCCAACTGCTGACATTTTTGAAATCAGAGTTGGCTAATCGAGAAACAGTTGGCTGAATGAATCAGATGGTTCAGTTAAGTGAAGGGGGAGGATCCTTTATAGGATGGCAAGCCTAAGCTGGGGTCTTAGAACTGTGCTCTGGAGGTGCCTGCCTCTTTACTTTGAATATACAGAGAGCCTAAGGAGACCTGATCTGACTTGTGCTAGAGCTGGGAGGAGGCAAGACCATGCAACATCGAGGAGAAGTAGCGTAGAGAAGAAATGGGCCGCTGGATTGGTTCAGCTGTTGGTGAAAACACAGTTTTAGAAAACCACTGCTGGTGTGTTAATTTGATGTGGGCAACAAAGACTGTGACCAAATGGTACAGAGAAAATTGCTAAGGTCTCTTATTCTCCTATTTTGTGGCAATCTAAATGAAGTGTCATTGTGAGGACCATATTTCTAGTTCCATCATGTGTATCTAATCTTTTTTTTTTTTTTAATTGAGGTACCAACCTTTATTATTGGTTAAAATCTGTTAGTTTTAAAAGAGGAAACAGCCAAGTAACCTGTACCTGGTAGAAAAGTTCAGCATTTGAAATCAGATGAGCAAACTAAAATGCTGCATAACACTTAATGAGTTCTTCTGTATAGTTCAGTTATAGCAAGGGCCTGATATACAGGCTAATGTAGCAGTGTCCTGGTTTCGGCAGGGATAGAGTTAATTTCCTTCCTAGTAGCTGGTACAGTGCTGTGTTTTGGATTTAGGGTGAGAACAAAGTTGATAACACACCAATGTTTTAGTTGTTGCTAAGTAGTGTTTACACTAGTCAAGGACTTTTCAGCTTCCCATGCTCTACCGACTGAGAAGGCTGGAGGTGCACAAGAGGCTGGGAGGGGGCACAGCCAGGACAGCTGACCCAAACTGGCCAAAGGGATATCCCACACCATATGACGTCATGCTCAGTATATAAAGCTGGGGGAAGAAGAAGGAAAGGGGAGGACGTTTGGAGTGATGGCGTTTGTCTTCCCAAGTCACCGTTACGCGTGATGGAGCCCTGCTGTCCTGGAGATGGCTGAACACCTGCCTGCCGATGGGAAGCAGTGAATGAATTCCTTGTTTTGCTTTGCTTGCGTGCGTGGCTTTTGCTTTCCCTATGAAACTGTCTTTATCTCAACCCACGAGTTTTTCTCACTTTTACCCTTCTGATTCTCTCCCCCATCCCACCGGGGGGGAGTGAGTGAGCGGCTGCGTGGTGCCCAGTTGCCGACTGAGATTAAACCACGACAAGCAGAAACACTGTTAATTGCATTAAAGTACAGTGTTTAACCTAAAATAACCAAACAAATACAGCATTCGCTAATGAAAGGAAAGGAAAATGACACAGGGAAGATAGTCTTTCAAGGTCACTATATGCTCTGCTTTTGGTCTCTTCACACTAGTAACTTTGGTCACTTTATTCTTATTTGTCTACAGATGACCCCAAGCCAGGTCCGCCTGCAAATCCCAGAGACACTGGTAAGACTGACCTAACAGGAATTTCTGAACAGTAGAAAAGTATTTGTTAATCTTTCCTAGTCCCTTTCAAAGTTACTGTACTGTAGTCTGCTTTTGATCTCTTAACCTTTTTCTTTTTTTTTCTAAATCTCTCTTTTGTGTGTAGATAACCCCAAGCAAGGTCCACCTGCACATCCTAAAGACACTGGTAAGGCTTCTAGCATAAACTCCTGAATCATGACATGGTTTTACTATTTCAGTTAAACTTAAAATAATTACACCTTGTTAATTGGCTGCTATGTATGTCAAATGTTGCACTGGATAAACACTGAGGATTGAGGAAAAATTGTCTTGCGAATAAGCTTTGCAGCAGTCTTGAAATTCCATAACAAACGTGTCGAGTCACTTTCCTTTCACTTAAAAGCATGATGGTGTGGGGAAGAGGAAGGATGGGACAGAGTGTGTGTGCTTGGGGCAATGCTGTTCTTGGCTGCCTATGGTGGAGCACCTGTGTATTGGATTGAGTCCTTTCATCTTCACAAACTGAATCCCTGCTAGTCATGCTAAAAAGTCAGTAGGAACTACCTGTGAACTGTATTCTTAAAGCATCTAAATTAAAGGTAAAGCTCAAAGTTAAAAGGTTGTTTGTTTTTTTTTTTTTTTTGGGGGGGGGGTTGGTTTTTTTTTTAGTTTTTCTTTTAAAGGCTCCAGTTAAGAAATACAATTCTTTTGTGTTTGAAAGGTAGACTTAAAATACATGTCCTTCCCTGCCTGTTGTGCTTTAGAGGTCTTCTCTGACTTTGCCTAACTCAGAACAAAACAGATTCAGATGGATGCAGCTGTGATGATGCCATTATCCAGGAATATGGTGGTAAAGAGTCCTTACCTGAAATGCAAGCCCTGGTTCTTGTTCCTTCTCCTGCCTGATTTGCAGCAGATACTTGAATTCAGGTCTTGCATACCTCAGTACGCTGCTTTTGCCACCCAACTAAAACATCCTCTGATGCAATGCTTTTAGTTTTGCTGTTTGAAACAGATTTGCTTTGCATAAACTAAAGATTCATTTGGCAGCAGAGGGAAGGAGGAGAACTCAAGCCCCATGAGGTGGGGTCCAATGAAAATGGAGAGGGACTGGTTCAATGTCCTGCAGTAAATCAGAGGAGGGAATTACATTTGGATCTTCCCATTGCCAGGCAAATACTGCAGCCACTGGACTGTGGCATGTTGAACTTTTTTTTTTTCCCCTCACCTCCAACTACTGTGTTGTACAGGTTTGAAAGGTTGGTTGTGACTTAGAAACCCAACTCTGAAGAAACATTCACAGCTGCAGGCTTGAAAAGAAATGGTCCTTTCCTGTCCATGTCCTTTCTCTGCTTTAACAGGATAGTGAGATTTGGGCTGTTCCACTTAAGTAGCTTACAGGGCTTCTTGCTTGCTTAGCCTATGACTTGTGCAGTACTACCTGCTCTTGGACTATCTTCTCTCAGTTGTTCACGACGTCCAGAGGCAGCAGTGCTTCTGTCAAACTCTATAGTGCTGAGCTGAAGGGACTTGAGATTGGGAGGGCTTTTGAAACATGAACATGTTGTGACTATGACACTGAGCCTAAAACCACCACGAACTCAAGCTGATGATCTAGAGAAAACTTCCATGTCATTATGTGCCTGGAGGTGTCTTTTCACTGAACTTAAAATATATAAGATAATGTTATTTTTATTATTCATAGGCAACCTTGATGATTCAGATCTATACGATGGCAGTTTACCAAAAGGCGATGGTAGTGGCAACAATGGTAAGATGGTTGTGCTTCATACTGATCCTATGGCTACCTGAGCTTTTGATAAAAGCTTGCTCACAAGCTGGTTAACATGGTCTAACTTGTAACACCTTTGGTTCTGGTATCTGAAACTTAAGAGTATACCTTCCTGTTCAAAAGCAATGTGTTTTGTCTCTGCCAAAAACCCCCACATAATTAAGAGGTAAAACTGGTCTAGGAACCTTCAATGATTTTCACTCTTACGCTAAGAAGGATGGGTTGTAAAACTGAGATGTGAATGTGGTACTTATTTCAAAATTCACCACAAATATAGTTCTTAAAGGCACCCAGGTGTTATTGTCAGATTTTCTGTCACATACTCTCAGTTTCTTTTAGTTCTTGTGGTTAGGAAGCCCTGGGGTGGGCCAGAAGAGGGTCCACCTTGTGTTCTCAAAGATTTAATCTGTCCCACAGGATGAGTTGATCCTTAGACTTTCAAGTGATGCAGGTTATATCTACTCTGAGCAGTATAAAAACCAAACTTGTTTTGAGTAATCTGCCATGTCTAATTGTTACGGCGCAGCTCAGTACAGAGGTGACCATCGGTCCCTGTCATCGGTCCCACAGTCATTGGGACCAAGCTGCAGTAATGGTCATCATTAGGATGGGGTTAGTCGTCCCTGTGTGCATTACTGCAACTTTACTGTTTCCAGGTCAGAGTTAGGTTAAATATCTTGATACGATGTTGAGATGTGCTGCTGGTTACTAACTTCTTCAGAGAGTTGTCCCAGACAGAGATTACTGATGCTAATTTTTTGGGAAGCTTTCACCTTCCAAGGTTCCTTTGGGGCAGTAACTTGAAAACTGGCAGGGGCAAGAAGCATCTGCTGAGACTTGTGTGGTGTTTTCATCTGCACAGGTTCCTGCTTCAGTGGTGCAAGTTGCATAGTGCCAAATAAGGATAGTATTTACAGAACTTCTGTCTCGTTTGCTAAGAGAATTGCAAAAATATTTAGTAAATGAGGCTGGGATTTTAGGAAAAGATAGTTGGTTCCATGGAAATACAGTTGAATGCTACCCTGAAATCATATGCTGTTCCTCTCCACTGAGTATTCTGTGGTGGTGGGCAAGTTGATTAAACCAGATTTCACAGGTGTGCTGCGCTCATTTTGTAGAAGTGCCGAGCACCCAAGGCTGAAGTTGGCATCACCATGACCTGTGCTTTGAAAATAAAATGTTGGAGTGTCAGAGAGCTTAGCACTGTATGGATATAATAGATAGCTTGTAATTTTGCATGAGTAATTCACAAAAAGGTTGTCAATTATGATATGACTGTTCTTTAGACATGTAAAATCTAAACCTTTTATTCATTTTTACAGAACGAAAGGGCTCAAGTCTAAATAATGGTGAAGCAGCTGAGGGTAAATGCATAAATTTATGTGTATGATGGTGTCTGCATGTCTGAAGCTTTTTTCCTGGGTTTTTCTGTATTGCTAATATTCTGCTAGAATGGTCACTGCTGATAGTGGGTTTCAGCTTAAAAACTTTTGTGAATCTAGAATTCTTACTTTCAAGCTCTGCTTTCATAATTCTTTAAAATCTCTATGTTGCAAATGATTCAAAAGTCTTAAGGTCTCAGAGATGCTGGTGCAGCGATTGCATGCATGCAACAGATTTGGCTATGAAAGGGTAGCTTTTTTAATTAGTGGAACTTACAACAGGCAGGCTTAAGTTGTTTAACAATAGGCATTGCAAAGAAATCAATGTTTATAAAATCAGAGGATTCACTTTTCATTATTCACAAAGAAAGAGTTGATTGCTACAGTTTCATGTAATAATTTCAGTTGGGGTTTTTTTGGAAGTGTTCACAGGGTTTACTTTGAGACAATACAAGTTTGACATTGCTTTCGATTCTGAAAAATGTATGCAAACCTCTTTTTTCAGCTTCTCAGGGAGCAATAGCTGGAATTGTAAGTGCTGTGGTTGCTACTGTAATTGGAGCAGTATCTAGTTTCATTGCTTACCAGAAGAAGAAACTCTGTTTCAAACAAAGCGGTAAGAATTCTAAATTAGTTTTGTTTTCTACTGTCTCAAGAGACGCGGTTTTTTATTTATATGGGGGCTAGAAATCGATCTTATGCATAAAGTAGTTTTAATAGCACAGTGAATTTGTGTTCACAGGGAGTAACCTCTCCTACTAGTTATCTAAGACAGGGTGTCTGAAGAATGCCTCACCCAAAATTTAGACTTTCAGAAGCAGACAGACTTAAGGCTTTGCATTTCTTAAAATAAAAGCACTTCCTGCTAAAGAGTAAGAATGAGAGACTGTAAGAAGACATTTCTTTAAGGAAAATTGAGTGGAGGTTGGGGATTAGACACTATTTTCATGCTGGAAAATACCTTGTCATTTCTAATTTTGTAAATCTTGCCTTTGTGTCTTCATAAGATGCTTGCCTACATACTAGGTTTCTGACAACTACCCGGATGTTCGTCCCCAAATGATTCTTTCTTCTGCAGTCATCTGTTGCTTGCTATCTACTTCCTTTCCACCTAAATAAGATATAACTTGGATCAGAGAACTTGAGGAGTACTGTGGCTGCGAGGTGGGGCAGAAGCTTTGTTTTTGTCCTTTCTAGTCTCTCTGACTGGTTGGTGAAGGCAGATGACGGAGCAGCAATCCAGCCAGGTGCTGCTGTTTTGTAATTTGGGAAGCTTGGAAACTGAGTAACATCTACCATGCATGTTAAAATTAGCATGCAGGCAACTCAAGGGAAACTCAACTACTATCAGTAGCCCAGTTTCTTCAGTGCTGTTTCTTCTCTCAAATTATCTCTATTAATCAACAACTTTGAAGATAAGAGAATTTGAATACTAAACGTCTTTGTTTCCTAGCAGATGAAGAGAATGTGAATATGGACAGCCATCGGGGAGCACAATCTGAGCCACCTGGTAAGAGAAGAATCTAGATGGAAGATCACCTTTTTGGTGGGGCTGCTATTAAATGCACTTTATTGACATCTAACATAGTGGAAAAAATTACTTGCGCTGTTTTGTTTAAAAAAAAATGTTTGTAACTACCATGATAACTAACTTAGAACTGAGTCAAGATTTCAGTTCCGATAATATGGCCACTCTTCTCTAGTTTTTTATTCTTTGAACAGATTGGTTTATTGCCTTGAGGGTCCTTGAAATACAGCAGCTTAGAGAAAGTAAAGAATTGAATATTCTCTGCAAAAGTATTGTTAAAGACAATTATGAAAACACAAGCCTGCTCCTTTAGTGTGATACATAACTGCAGTTAGCTGACAGGTGTTTTATTAGTTGTGTCTGATTGGAATCTGATACCTTTTTTGATTGTAAACCCATATAGGACTCTGCAAGAATGCATATTAAAAAATGTTAATAGTGTTTGGGCAGAGATGAAACTACACTGGAGGCAAGGAGGACTGAACTTGCTAGCATGTTGTTGTAACTAAAACATTCTGTGTTGTGAACCGAGAATGATTCTTCTATGAAGGAATCATCAAATAACAAATCTTTTTACAATGGTGACAGCTGCGGAAGGATCTCTCTTAAAGCAACAAAAACCCTAACAACCTCACCCTTCCAGGTATGGTTGTCTAGGGTACTTGGCTGGTGGAACAGGTGATTATTTCCAGGAAAGCCATAGATAGATCTGGAGGAAACAGTATAGGTGAAAACTTGGCCTTCTAGCCCTTGTGACTGGTGAACAAAGGAAGAAGCAGTACGCCCTCATGCTGAAGTTTGCTGAGTGTCTTTGAAACACTATTAAAATCTCAAAGCAGTATAAATTTGCAATATATTCTTCTGTGAGCTTAATCTAAAACCTGCAGAACTAGTTCTGGGTTTTTATAATTTAACAAAAAAATTTTTATACCTTACTTCTTTCAGGTATTTCTTCAGTTTGCTAAAAACTTCCATCTGACTCATGATCCTCTTTATAAACATTTTTCCTTTCAGCTGTTAAATATATAAAACTCTCAAGGAGAAAACATTTTCTTGTGACTGGCTGGGGGGGGGGGGGAGGGGGGGAGGGGGGGGTTAGGAGCTATGCATTAGTGAAGCAAGCAGCATTGTTCAAAGACCTCTACCAAAGGCAGTTAACTTACGAGTTGGAGTCAGGATATGCTAAAATTTTGGCAAAGAGTCACGAGAACTCAGGTGTGAAATGCATCAGATGATACATACTTTATTTTAACCGATGAAGTCAAACCTGGGATGTTATCATAAATGATTACTCCTGCCTACATATTGACATCATGTTAAATCCCAAATTTCATACCTCTGTTATATTTTGCAGGCAAGCATGAGCATGTTTTGAGCCAAGAAACTGGGCAACCATGGTCAGCATGGTGCTAGTCCTGATCTAAGTTCTGGGAGTCAGCAGACATTAGCTGTGCTTTTGGTAATACAGTGTTGATGTACCTACATGGCTTCTAGCTAGAAGCAGCCTTGCATTAAGCCAGGTCAGATGGCATGGCAGAACAGGTTTGCATTTTTAAAATTTTACATAGACTTATCTTTGACTTCCTGAAAACGTAGATAACCTAGGCTAGCACTTTCTTTCAATAATCCGCCTTTTCCATCAGCTATGCAGACTGTACTCCATTTCGTTTTTGCATCTGCAAAACTGCAAGTCTGAAACCGCATGTTGGGTTATACTGCAAGTGTAGATAGCTACAGGGATCTGGTAGGATGTCCTTATTTGAGTGAGAAGTCTGGGATGTAATATCCCTTGGTATGCAGGGCACTGGCTACACAGAATCAAGCCTCTGCTTACCTGAATTTATCCCACAGTTTCAAATGCCTACTGAAAAAGCCTGTTGTCCACATATATTGTTACATAGTAATACATAACTTAAAATGTATACTAACTTAGTGTACTAATCTTGAGTTGTTTTTCACTTTTTAGTTCAGCGCACGCTTCTGGAGAACTAAATTAAAGAAAACGTGAAGAACAGACCATTGAAACTGGATAGAGAGCCTGCATTTGCCTGGAAAAAAAAAGGAAACAAAAAAAGCATAATAAAAAAGCAGAGTCTGAAGTTGCATGAGAAAACAGTTCTCGTTTGAAACACCTCTGGGAGTGTGACTTAGACCTGAGTACTTCTGTATAGTTAGCCCTGTGAAGCATTGTTGCACACCAATATATGGCCTTAATGACAGGAGTGTAGAAGTATGTTGTGCCTTTACATTCTTTCCTGTACTCCTGTGACAAATGGGTGTGTCTCAAGTGCATTCAGTATGTTTAACTTTTCCTTACCTCTCCAAAAACAATAAGCAATTAATGTTTTGTTACACCATTGCTTTCAGGCAGTGCAAACATTTTTTTTTTAATATCCTGTACGCAGTGAGTGTACCGACCAAACAACTTGATATATGGTGTGGGCACCTGAAAGCAAATGGCTCGCTGTGTGTGGATAATGGATCTGGGTGTGGGTGCTGCCGATACAATCTGTGTAGCTGCCTGGGTCAGCCACCAGGGAAGAGATTCTTGTTCTTGAGCATCCAAGAGACAAAAATTCAGAGTTTTGTTTCTGCATTTTTTTTCATTGCATCTGTCTGGTACAGATTCAGAACACCCAAACTGGTGCACGCAGACCCTTCATCCTTTCTGGCTCTTCCTGCTTAGCAAGTACTGAGCTGGTCAGATGTGGAAAAGCCTGATTTGCAAATCAGAACCATAATTGGATTTCGTACATCTGGTGAGATTGATGTTTGGCAGTTGTCTGAACAGTTGTGGATGAAGTATTGGGGAGTGGGGATTAACATCTTCAGACTTCCATAACCAAAAACTTAACAGAAAATAATGTGATCCTTTGAATTCGGAGGGCTTGTCATACGCACTTAAAAGACAGAAACAGTACTACAGTTCGAAAGTACATAATGGCAAGACTGACCAGAACAACCAGCCTCACTCCACGAGCATCCATTGAACAGGACAAATAGCATACATGTGAAGAATGCTTTTGGACTTGTGAAGGATTGCCATCAGGATGGGGACCTGTGACTGCATCCTCAACTGAAAGCGTTTGTGAGCTTTGCTGTGGCTCTTGAAAGCCACAGGAAGGTTTCGAGGATCTGTGGAAATATGGAAAACTGTGCAACTCATAGCAGTTAAAGGACTGAGTCTGGAATAATAACTAGTTCTGTCTGGAAAGAATAGTCTGACCGGTTCTGTTGGCTTTCCTTCTAATTGTTTCCAATTTTCATGCAGTTATACAACATGTGTCTTACTAACGTGCTTCAGCCACCTGGCAAAGTTCTACAGAAAGATGACATTTCATGGACCATCTTAGAAGTCATTATGAATTTGGATATTAAACATGTAAATATATCTGTGCATTCAGATATGAATGTATGCCAAGGATAATTCATTTAAGAATTTCTTGTACATGTTTCTTAGCTTGCAACAAAGCTTTACATAGATTTTAGTATTTTGTTATGGAATTAATTTGTAAAGCTCTTTTTGCCCCACTTCTGCTTTTAGTATAAAAGTGCTAAAATCTTGAAGCGTGTCTGAGGGTGGAAAACTGTATTTACATAGATCAATAAAAATCAAAGAAATGAAATGTACTGCTCACCTGCATGAATAAACAGGTATCTCATATCAATGCCAAGTGTAGAGAAAACAGAAATAAGCCAGTGTTTGTTAGGGATAGAATGGCAGGGGAAGCTCACGCTAGCTTTTAGCTAACCAGACTCTTGACTCCTCCTTCAGCTTTTGCAAGCCTAAAAGTTACTTATTAAAACCTCCTATCAACATTGTGATTTTTCTAAAAATAAATTTAAAAAAAAAAAAGAAAATGTTTACGTATTTTCCTTCTTAGTAGCTCTAGAAATTGAAAAATTTTGGTGCTTTACCAGAGAAGCAGTCTTCAAAGGGAGTTTGTCTTCCTGCTCCATCAGCAATTCAGGTTTATTTCATACAGACATTTTAACCGTTTTAGAAGGAAGTTGGCCAGTAGCAACAAAGCTGTGAGCTGCTTTCACAGGGTGCTTACTATTGCGAAGTGCAGAGAAGACATCTGTCTTGGTGAAGGACGCCTGGAATCTACTAAAATATGCACAGCAATAGAAGGCTTGGTATGGGCAAACTTAACAGCGTTTGTGTTGAGAAGGAAGAAAGACTGGCTGCTGCCACCTAGGAAGAAAAGGTTAAAGAGAAGGCTTGAAATTTCAGGCTGATCTTCTGTAGTGAGCAAGAAACAGCCAATTTATGGGTTTCCTGTTACTTACCTGTGGATAAAACATAGCAGTTAGTTAGCTTATTTTTCAGTTATCAGGGTATTAATTGCTACGTTGCTATTTGCCTCGCTACCCATTGAGACTTTGATCTTGTGCCTTCCTAGCTCAACTGCTCTTGCATTGCGTAACTAAATATCCCACTTCATTAGTTCTCACATTCATTGGGTCAAGAAACACGATCGCAATTATTCATCACCCTACTGAAGTACTTTTATGATCCTCTCCCACGGATCAGCTGCTGCCCATCGTGGCCTTACGGGCTGTCAGATCCCAATTTGGGAATTAACGTTCTAGTTTCCATACAGGTTTTGATCAGGCACTGCAGTGGGATGAAAAATTACTGTCCTTTCCAGGCCCAAACTGCAAGTTCACTCCCGGTGAGGTACCTTCACCATTAAACTGAGTTTAAATGGATGGCAACGAGGAGCTCTGTCCTGTTCCTGTGGCACACCCTCTTCAGTTCTGTTTTTCCTCCACTCTACCTCCTTTGAGGAAGAGGAGTTACCTTCAGTAACAGGAGGAAAAAAGCAAAGCAGGATCTTCTTCTTGTAGAATATCATGTCACTTTAGCTTCTACGAGGGAGCTGAGGTGGCAGTTTAATTCACCCTAACTATCAGTGAAAAGGACTGCCTGAAAAATGTTTTGACGGTTTCCAAATGCGATGTCCATTTCAAATACTTATCTAAACTTACCCAAACAAATTCATCGGGCTGTGGAAATGAAAGCAGGCAATTCTTGAGCATAAAATTTGGCAGCTTTTTACTGTCGCTCCTATTCGTGCTCATTTCAATATCTGTGCCCAATTTTGAATGCTAAGGAAAACTACTTTTAGTGCACTCAGTTTTCAGTGTACCTTGGGCTGAATTACACTCCCACTTGTGCATTTTGGTATTTTTCTCGCTAATTATTTTAGGCCACTATCTAAGCTGTACTATTCTCTGTGTGGTTTTCACTTGACAAGATTATGAAACAAACCTTAACCTTTTCATAAACTGAAAAGATTATTTTGTTTTTGCTCTTTTCTGTTACGCAGATATAAAAGACACGTATGAAGGAAAGTGAAGAGATGATTAGGAATAGCAAAAGGACTTGAATGGAGCAAAAAGAGTTTTTTCAAATCCCTGCATTTGGAGTACTTTAAGAACCACAAGGATGAAATACTAAATGCACGTTCCTCCATCTGCTTGTGAAAAACCATTGAAGTTTTAGCTAGCGTGTAGTAATTGTATTCTTCCATTGCCGAGAAACTGTATCACCGATTCATTTGTGTATTTGGCTTATATTTAGATTAATGTCTAATATTACCAGATGTTTTGATATGTTAATTAAAATACTTCCATTTTTATGACAAAAGGTGAATACTGTAGGATATTAGTGGCTTTCCCCAGTAGTTCGAGTGTATAATCACGTTCTTTCATCTCCGATAGACTCATGCAGCGGGTCACCCGTGCCAGAGAGCAAAGTCTAACCTCTGCCCACAGGAAGGATGGGGCTGCAACTGTGGCGAGTTGTGACTGTCCTCTTCTTCTCTTTTAGCTTGTCTCATCTAAAAGAGGCCTGATGGGCTAAAAGTATATGGTGTAGAGAATAGACAGACACACGGGCTCCGTTTCTCCACCCATTTGCTATTTCTGAAATATGTTTTTTTCTTGAAAGAACAAGTAAAAAAAAAAGTCATCCACCTTGTCAGCTGAATATTAGGCAGAACTTTGTTTTCCCTTTAAATAGAAAAAGAGGAGTCAACGGTTTCTTAAAGTGATAAAACTACAATTTATGGTCAGGTGTAAGGCCTTATATTTGTTTTTAATCTATAATATTGTTTACTTGACATCTCGGGCAATCACTTGCACGTCTTCGACAGAGGGAGCTGAGATGAAGAAGTTCCTGCAATGCCCCAAGAATAGAAGTGGGATAAGTATTCGAGACATCCCGACTCCAATGCTAGGTCCACTCCTTCAGCTTCCCCTTCCTGTGCCTTCTTCATATTGTTTTTATTTAGCTAGACAGAGCAGTAGCTGGCTTCAGAGGAACTAGACAAGGGGTGCATCGTCTTCAAACTTAAGAATCTTCAATATCCCAATGAACTAGCATCGGCAGACAGACGAGCTAAAGCATTTTGGGAAGACTTCACTTACAGGAACAACTGTTTTGAAGTAAAGCTACTGAATGTTTGTGAGCTGCTTGGGCTTGCCTGGGACTAGTACGTAGCCTTGCTAACTTTCCTGTTCCCTTCAGGCAAATTCATCACTGATACAAAGATTAGCACATGTGTGCCTGCTTTTGTTATTCTGGAAAAAATAAACAGTGGACTTACGGGATTGCTCGTGTCACGGTATGGTTTTCACTGGTTGACAAAGTCACCTCTCAAACCTAAATGTCCTTAACTCTTCTGAAATTGAGCAATTGGCCCTGACAAAGAGAATGACGATACATAAATTGAGCTTTAGAGTTTCCATTACTAGCTTAAAAACAGTTAAGCCGTGTGATACAATAAGCCAGGCCTTTAGAAACCATTCTACTGGTTCAAATCTGGGGAGGGGGGAGCTGACCTACTTGAACATCAAGCTTCTCGAAGATCCAATATCACCGGGTTTTATCAGTCCAGTTTATGTTGTTGCCTCTGTTTTCTTGTAGTTAGCATGAAAGCATGAATTCAGTGCACACACTGTATCATGTGTTCTAGGTAACTCAACAGAAATGCACTTGGGGCCAGCTGTGCTCCACATCAGACCAGATCACCCAGCAACACCACGAGCGTACGGATCGGCCATTCATGGTAGCACAGTATTTGCTGCCCTAGTCAAAACAGCGCTGACAAAAACGCCTGCAGCTTGCCCCCCAGCAAAAGGGAGGACGCACACCAGCCTCATTGCTGGCGCCGGGCGCCAGTGTGACGGTGGCAGTCCAGTTCAACAGACAAGTGCGCTGGCACACGTCTGCTAGAGAGAGGCTATGACAAAACTGGATTTAAATCACATCAGTGATTTTAAAGTATGTTCATGTATAGATGGATGCATGATTTTTGTTCATTTTCCAAAGCTTTGTGTTCTCGCGCTCGGCACTATCTAAGATCTCTCCCCATGTAGGATATGCATGGATATTTATATTTAAAAATTATCTAGACCAATGGAAAAATCATAACAGACAACGTTTACCTTGTAAAGATAAGCATCTGCCAGGGAGCTAAGCATGCTCCAGTTCAGTAGTCTGACATCACATTTCAAGTTTACAAAATCAGGGGGTTTTGTCATCCCCCTGTAGACAATTCCCGAGTCTCTGCAAAGCAGATTCCCTCACTCGGTGGCTTGAGTTAGCGGTTAGGACTCTGACAGGATTGCCTTTATCAGCAGTTATTGCTCAGCGAAAAACTGAGCAGGAAGGCTTTGAGGACAGAGTATATCTGAGAGAGTTTTTTTCAAGTACGCTTCAGAGAAAGCCAGTCTCCTCTCACAAGCTACTTGAGCTCCCGCAGCACCGCACCCTGCTTTGAAGGCGAGGATGTCAAACAGGTTGGCTTTCCCTCTGGGAAGGAGGTGGATTCAGGGCGTGTTGGCTCCCTCCTCATTGGGTGCTGCCGCTGGTTCCCCGGCTCCCCACGCTCCCTGCCTGGGCGATAAATAGATTTCTTAGAGGGCGGGTGGCACCTACGGTGCTGCTCATGGCTTGGCCGTAGAGGGGTCGTCTGCTCTCGTTACTTGTCTTGTACTAGAAGAGGTTTTTAGGGACTTCTCTCTCTTCCTCGGCGCTTGAGTGTGATGGTGAGGGAACTCTTTGGACAGAGCCGCTGATTCCAAGCGTCTCCCTCAAACCTTGGCACTGCAGTTGCAACATCTACCATCATCGCTTGGAAAAAAAACACCAGTGCAATCAAGGCACTGCATAGAAGACCATGGGGAAATTCAGAAGTATCCTTCTTTTGTGCCTTGGCTTTCTTCTAGTCCACGTAAGAGGTAAGTGACCTTTGCCTTGGCTTATTTCTAGGTCGAGATTATTAAAAATGAAAAAAAAACCACCAAAAACCTAAACCCCAATCCCTAAAAAAAATTGCTTGTTTATTTAGAAATGCTTGCTGGCATTATTTTTGTTGCTACTGTTTCATGAGAAGCATTCAAGAGTGTTTAGATAAGTACTTCTGCAGTTTCTAGAGAGATATATATCTTTTGGATGATCGCTCATAATAGCCATGCTAGTTGGGGTTTGTTTGTTATAATTTCTTATTTTATCTTTAGTGTTACTCCCATAAAATTATTCACCAGTTTGGACTTGAGTATAAAAATTTTAAATGGAAGCTGTAAAATGAGAGCTTCCAAGGGAACTTTTAAGTTTCCAGAGAGATCCTTAGTCGGACACTAACTTCATGTTTTTAGAGCTTTTCTTGGTTATCGATATTTTGAAACATATTGGTTATATTGTAAAAACAAATTCTGATTCAGTTTAAAGATGCTCATGCTTTCATATTGGTGCTCATGCTTTAATAATTATAAATTAATAATTTATTAACCTTAGTCAACATATTCCTGAATATATAAAATCCAAACACAAGCATACTTTCTTTTTTTTCATGCAGGATTAATGAAGAATTGAATACATTTTGTACATATTTTTTGACAAATGAATAGCAGTTGGGAAAATGTAGTCCTTTCATATTGACTTGTTTTTCTATATTCTAACATAATTTTCTTTTAGCAAAACATTGTGTAAAACTTCTTTTGATACCAAACCAAACATGATCATCCTGTGTGCATCTGCCATGTAGTGTACTTGTAACCTTTTCTTTTTTGTATATTAGCATTACTTCAAAAACTTACAGCGCAGTGTTTGACTGCAGGAAGAAATCAGTCATTAACCACTAGTTCCAAAATAGCTGCTGCTGCTGCTCATCCTCCCACCACCCCTGATTTAAATGGAGTCTTAGGAGATCTTGCAGTGACGGGCAGTGAAAAAACCTTTCCTTAAATTAGTGCCGTAGTTCCATTTTAACAAACAAAGAATTATTTGGAGGTCTTCGGCAAGTAACGTGGCATAGAAACAGCAGAGCAGTAGGACTGTGCTGGCCTGCCCTGTAGTATGTTGTGAGCAGCGATGATTCACACAGTCTCTCGTCACTGGCATGCAGACTTTCTTGTTCTGGAGGACTCTCTTACGTTGAATATTTCTGTTCGAACAATCTGAGCATGGGCAAGCCAACTTCCATACACTCTATCACTTTAATTACAAGGACAGTCAGCCTAACCGTTCTTGCTTTACACGTGCTAATTTAGAGCCAGTTCAGGCCCTGCTTTGGGGAAGAAGTCATTGCTGAAAGCTGCTGTGGGCTTTGGGCACAGTCTTATGCCTGTGGAATGTTGAATATTTCTGTTCAAACAATCTGAGCATGGGCAAGCCAACTTCCATACACTCTATCACTTTAATTACAAGGACAGTCAGCCTAACCGTTCTTGCTTTACACGTGCTAATTTAGAGCCAGTTCAGGCCCTGCTTTGGGGAAGAAGTCATTGCTGAAAGCTGCTGTGGGCTTTGGGCACAGTCTTATGCCTGTGGAAACTATTTAATCCACTTTGAAAAGCAACATGAATTATTTTAAGTCTATGGCAACAGCCACTGAATTTTATCATCAAAGTATTTACCATGTTTCAGGGGACATTTACAGGAACTACTTCTCAGTCCTAATCAAGATATGATACGAGAAAGGCTTGGCCATGCTGGTGAAAACCTGGTCTAAGTCCTTACGATAGGAACATCTATGGCATTTTTTATACGCAGCCTTAATTCTTTTCTAAGCTGTAACCATCTGTGATAGCTTCTTGAAACTACTGTGCTGCCATGGCCAGGCCAGATCACATCACTCCCCTTACCATCTAGCATTTCCTTTATGTCCGGCTATCTTCAGTTAGTTGGCTAGGCTACCTCGATGGACACATCTCAACAGAAGTGTGGCATAACCAAGGACCACATTGCACAAGGAAAGTGAGACCTGATACAGTTCAGAATCTTACATGCTCACTGCAGTCTTCCATACTTTTATCTGCACTCTTTGGCTTTTGTTATTTCCAAGCTTATGCAGGTTACATGAGATCTCCCATGTAAGTTGAGCTGCAACAACTAATTGTCTGAGTGGCTTTTAGCCCAACCCAAATGAAAGAAACTTCATAGAAACTTCTTCCACCGAAGTTCATGCTAACGTCCCACGTCGGTTACTGCAGCTCAGCGGACCCGTGGTAATTCAGCTTTGGCTGTGTCTACACTGCCCACTTAGGGTGTGGTAAGACACAGCGTAGGTCCTAGTCCCCCAGCAACTGAGATCACGCACCTGTCTGAAACGCACTGCAGGTCCCATTTGGGCCGTACACCTGTGTGCGTACCTGTAGCGGGGAAGCGGTGCAACCTGAGGGCTCTCTCCTATACGGAGCTGGAAAGCAGCTGAGACTCTCACTCAGACCTGACTGCTCAGAAATGCTCCTCAGGTTCCCACTATAGATATAATCTACATATCCATGGTCTTTAAGACCAACTGATAGATCACATGTTTAGTCAGTAACAAAGACGGCACAAAGGCTGATGATGTTTAAGACGCACTAACTTTACTGCATCAAGTATTGCATGCTGTGCAGGTGAAAGGAACAGCATTTATTGCTAGCCAGTAAGCCATGTACCACGGTCCAGCTAAGGCTTACAAAGATGTTGACTCAAAACTAATTGTATTCTCAGTTAATTAGCTAGGCACTTTATGGGGAGAAAATTACAGACCTGTTTGGATTTGAGACACTGTGTGACTTAGTTTTATAAATAACGTAGTTTTCACTGGAGTTAAGAGACAGAACTGGAGAGATGAAAAACAGTCCTGTTTTTCATATAGTGCTCCATCAAGCTCCAGACCTCGCTGTCGCTCCGTGTGAGGTCCCTGCGTATGTGCTGAAGCACTCGTGGTATCATCAGGGTTGTATCAAGGAATTCTCTTGTTGCTGGGTGCCAAAACTATTTCACTCCAAATATCAGAGCTGCTATCATCTGTGGGCATGTCAGTGCTATCATCCAAGGGTGTGATTGCAGTTTGATAAATAGACATACCTGAGCTGGTTGAAATACTAACAGCAGCAGAGCTGTTAGAACATCAGAGCTTGGGAAGAGCTAACAACCGGTGTGGTTACTCAGCTTCTCAGGTTCACTTTTCCAACATCGCTGCCACATTGCGAGCCTGGTAGCAGTGCCCAAACTGCCTGTTTTCAGTATGTATTTTTCCCTCATTTGCATCAGCGATTGTCAATCCCTTTCCATCCCATTGAGGGTAATAAATAAAAAATAAATGTCATAATTCTTTCAAGATTAAAAATCAATGAAAATATGCCTTTCTGTGGCATTTTGCCTTGTGGTTAGGAGGAGAGAGCTTCAGATTGTTCTGATCAGTCTTCCTTCTTTTCCACCGGGGGGCTGACATTTATGAATGCTATGGGAAAATACTATCTAAAATCTGATCTGTAGTACAATATCTCATGAAGGCAAATAGGCCATCCCAATTGAAAGAAAGGGCTTGAATGGGTTATGACAATATAACAGTCCCACTTCCACTGTTTAAGCTTTGCCTGTCATCAATGCATTTCTTAATTCCTGAGGAACTTATTTAAAAAGCTAAATCACAGCAAAATATTTTCAAAGGGCAACAGTGCTCCAGATTAAATGAAAACAAAGACCAGAGCAGGCACTAAGATTAGCAGACAAATTAAAGCAAAGTCGCTCCTTATGTCGTAGGTCTTATAACATCAGTGGTGGAGGAGCCAGGAGCATACACTCCACACCAGGAACAGTCCTGAGTTAACAGCAACAAAGCCTCCCAGGTCACAATCTGTATCGCATCAAAACTGCAGCTCTACCTTGCAGGTTACCATTGAGATATGAGCCAGGTATTTCCATTCACAAACATCGTACAGACCATTTTGTTTCCTGAGCATAATGGTAACAAAAAGAAGGATGGCTCTTCGTGCAGAAATCCAACCCAGGTTTGCAGAGCATTCTGCACGTCAAGACTCTTGATTTCTGTTCCCTCTGAAGGCTAAGCTGCCAGATCCTCTTCTGAGTCTCCTGCTTTTGAAGTTCAGATACCAACTGATGCTCCATCACCCTTTGCCCACGGTCATTCAGAGAGGCTTCTCTCTGCACTCCGGTGGCATGTGCAGAGGCTTCTTCAGCTCTGCAAAGGGAGCCTAGTTGCTTTTCTCATTTAGTCCAAATGAGATGAGATGTGGCTCCTGAGACTCTGCAGAGACTTTGTTGCTGAAGAGACCTGCTTGCTGACGTCCAGCAACTCTTTCCAGCATTATTCTTTTCCAGAAAACACGTTCTTAATGGCATGAAACAGAGAAGATGCAGGCCTTGCTTCTTTGCTGTCTTGCATCTTAAACACACAAAGAATGTGTACAAAACACCCTGATCATCCACTTCGACTTGGCAGTATTACTAACCCCCTTGGAAGCAATATAAATAATTATGCCAATGGGCTACTGTGACTTCAGGGGGCACAGGATTAGTTATACAACAGAATTTCTGAAACAAATTCAACTCGATGTTAGTTACAGAATAGCACTACTGAGATCTGTGCTACCCATATTGAAGAGCTAAGGGTACTTTGCGTGTATTTTTACCAGTGTACTTGGGATGAAGGTGGGATGAGGAACATTAAAAGACACTCTGTGAGCAACAGAAATAACAAAGCCTGGCATCTCCCTGACCTCCCACGTTATCTTCAGCTCCCTCTGTTGTCTTCAAACTACCAGCTGGGGAAAGTGTGGGTTAGCCACACTAAGTACCAGCTGGTACTTAGGCAGTGAGTGGTCACTCAGAGAGCCCAACACAGCTGTTGCTTGTGCCACACTATAGGGTTTCAGTAGGAACACTCATATAGGTCTCTCGTTTGAGCCTATCTACGTGTACAGTTCTCATGTAGCGTGACCGTCAT